ATATATATATACTATATATATATATATATATATATATATATATATATATATATATATATATATATATATATATATATATACTATATATATATATATATATATATATATATATATATATATAAATTTCTCTCTATAACTCCCCCCAAAGAACATAAAACCCTCACAATCATACTATACCCCAATGAGACAGTTCACCTCACACCCCGCCCCTGACATCTCTTCACACGTTTACACTATTCACTGTAAGTGGATCTGCTCCCACACCAACTTCTGTATACACTAAACCCTAAACCGCAGCCTAAACTCTTCCTTCGCACACTCACCCAATCAGCTGCCAGTGAGTCCGCGCCCAAGCCCAATCACGACACCACCCTCAGGCATTTCACACGCGAGATCTTCGTGGGGTGTCTGCGGAAAATGCTTACCAGTGCGAGTGAGCAGTCCACTTCCACCCTCACGTTGCTGGACGCCAGGATAACTCAGATGATTGACAACTCTGTGGACCACAGAGCCTCGGGTGGTTCGTATGGGAGTGGGTTTGATATGGACATAGCTACCACCTACCTACAGGCGGTTGGTGGGTATCTCGAGAGCGCGGCGAGCCATAAACAAGCCAGACAGACCAGCGCCAACGCGTCCGCTCATGGCTTACCAGTGGATAAGAAGAACAATAAGGGTACGGATAAGAGTAAGAAGAAGGATAAGGATAGGGAGGCGAATAGTCGGAGCTATGGCGGGTCCTTCCATAGCCTATACCAGAAGATGCTCCAGCACGCGTTGTCGGTGGTGGATGTGGCAGGCGCCCAATCAGAAGGCCGCGCTAGAGCACAGGACAAGCGGTACCCATTGTTTGCCCATGGGGCTCGGCAGTTGGGTGTGGTGTCGGCCATTCTCAACACACCCGTACCCACTACCGTTCCAGAGCGCACGGGGAGCGCAACTAAGCCCAAGAAAACGGACCGGGTGCAGCCTGCACCTGGGGCAGGGAGAGAGGACTCGGGGCGGACGAGCGCCGCCAATGCACAGGCCAGGATGGCCATCCTGGTGGCGTGTTTGAAGCAGGTGTCGGGCTTTCTCGTCGGCATCAGACAGCGCGATACAGATAGAGTACACCCCCTATCCACAGTCAACCAAGAGAGTATAGTCGCCAGTGAGACAGACACGGACGCGGGGACGGAGATACTGTCGGCGGTACTGGGCTGTATGGTGTTCCTGACGACGAGTGCGCGTATTCTGGGCGAGGATACCTGGGCACAGGCGCAGTACAGCGCGACCGTAGATGCCATGTGGAAGCGTGTGCTGACGCTGGCGTTGTTTGTGTGTGCGTGGGCGACGGAGGCCCAGCACGCGACCCAGCGAGCCACACCTGCACCCAGACCCACCCACACACACGCACAGTCACAGCCACAGGCACCATCACCATCGCAGAAGTATACGTATACACACACGCACGAGGCAAGGAGACGCAGACGGGCTAGGTACGCTCAACGTACGGTTAATGCGTGCATAGAGCTTGTGTGCACCTTAGCCGTGTCACTGAGCGCGTCGTCGGATATGTTTGAGTCGCTCGTGCAGAGTTTAGGGGAGGAGATCGACCGAGGTTCAGTCCAGTCGCACCTCAGTGTGCGGGGTTCTGGTCCTAGGCGGGGTTGCCATGGCAACGACGAACGGGATCAGACCGCGTCGGAGTTGCAGTCTGTGTGCCGGACACATGCGGCGGTGGTGTGTCTGAGCGCACTGCACGCGCACGCGATAAAGCTCAAGCAACATGGTATGTCTTTGTATGTGCAATATGCTTAGTTTGATTGTGTGTTAAAAACTCATGCTTGTATGTTCCACAATTTAGGTTACAATACGCTAATGACGCTTTTGGACTTGAAGCACACTCTTTACTTCACTCAATTAGACCGGATAGTAGATAAAACTATACTCTTTTGACATCGATACATAGTGCCGGATGGGCGATTGTATTGTGTATGTATTTGGATACGTATGCGCATAGACGTACATTACCATATGATGTTTAGACATACTCTGTGCGTATCATGAGGCATATGTTCGTAGAGGTGCGTCACCACCTGGTGTTTGGGCATACCGATACCCTACCTATTGCATGCTGGGTCGTATCCTGCAAACTGAACACTGTAAAGAGCGCCAGTACGCACTACGGTACACTCCTTTCGACTAGTTACTAGACAACCCTATATTCATTATCAGGGATACCAGGATGATTGCATACGTACATAGGCATGTGTCTGGCCAAAGTTTTTGTTATATCTGAACGCACACGTACGTGTGCACACACATTTGCGCATTCCACTGCACCTTCGTTCCGTTTAACGCCTGCGTAGGGCTCGTCACATTCGGCTACAACCAATAGTCATTGCTAAAGCCCAGTGGTGTTACCATTGACAATGTGTTGTATATTACGCCGAAACCTTTCATCAAGCTACACGTACATGCCTCGGTAAGTAGCTAGACCATCTACTCAGAGAGCAGCTGTACGTGAATACGTGAACAACAACAAAATAGGGACTATTATAGTGGATTTCTAACACAGCAGTAGGTTGCCATCGTGTATGCTACATGTTATATATATATATATATATATATATATATATATATATATATATATATATATATATATACTATATATATATATATATATATATATATATATATATATATAT